ATTCCCCATCTCCCCCAAATGACACAAAACCTGTTCAGTGAGACTTGCACAAGCAGACAATGCATTTTGTCTGTCTCTGGTATACCTTTAACTTTGTCTTCCTCACTTTTCAAAGGACTATAATTGTCATCATGTAAGACTGTAGGGTGCTTTCGTTTGTGCATGATGCCTTTATACGACACTCTCTTCTCTGGTGACCTGCTTTTAAACACCCAAAACTGAAGCCATGGCTCTTCAAGAAATCCAATTTCTTGCTGATTAACTGCTGAGGAAATCCTCCACAGGCATCCATAGAATGATTATTTTTCCCACAGAAAAGACAGGGCCTGATGGCTGCATTTTTAGCACACTGGTTATCATGGGTGTAGCTATTTGCGTTGTTTTTATTATAACTAGTAATAGGTGTGCTATGAGCTGCTGCCCCTTCTTCTGGTTGCCAATGTGGCTGTGTAGTAGCGTAACTTTCCCTAGATCGGCTGGACTGTGTATTCTTTCGGCTATTTTTTCCTACATTATCATCTCGGTCAGCATTCATTGAATCTTTATCATACACTAGATCGTTAGCTTTCTTAGCTTCTAACTTTACCATACTCACCAAGTCGCTAAATTCTACTACATCGTTTCTTTCTTTGATTGACAGAATTCTAGATCTACACCTTTCATGAAGCTGGTATGGCAATTTACTGACAAGCTTTTTAATTGTATCAGGATAATCTAGAATCATAGCCTCAATGCTTTTTACCGCATTTTCACATTCTGAGAGAAACATTGTCCCTTTGCATTACTATATGTGATAGAAGACCACTTCATAGCCCTTTTAATATAGGCACTGGCTATTATTTCACTATTGCCATAGCGATCTTCTAATTCTTTTATTGCAGGTGGGTAGCCTTTACTTGCATCTAGATAGCCAAATCCACTGAAAATTGTATTTGCCTCACCTGTAGTATACTGTTCGAGATAGTTCATCCGTTCATCATCAGTCTCTGTATTTGCTACTACTCTGGATTTAAACTGTCGCATGAACTTTGTGTATTCCATGATGTCACCACCAAAACATTTAATATCAGATTGCGGCTTTTTCAGCTCTCTCACTACGGATAGTATGGTTTCATTTGGTCTCCTGTCAGTAACAGAGCTCTCATTCTTATGAAGCATGTGTTGGTTATTACCACCTGTCTGACCCCTTTGAAACCCACTTTGTTCAACACTTGGGGTAAACTCAGCCGTGGAAGGGTTTAATACTAGCTCTGACTGTGAGTTACAGTGTGGTGCACTTGTTGAAGTAGGGTGACCAATACCATCATTAATATTTGCTGTTTCAGGCAAAGTAAACTCATGAAGAGAACAGATAATATTCATATCATTCCCTAGCTGCTGATTGTGTTCATCACTCATATCTGCCAGCTGCTCATCGATAACTTATTGCTTATTGCATCTGATACTGATTTTTAAGTTTACAATTTCAGCTGTTCTTCCTTTTGGTTCAGGAGCAGCTCCTTTTCCTCTATTTCTCTTTTTAACTGAAGTTTAGCATCTTGTATAAGCTGTTGTTGTTTCAGAGCAGCGGTCCTGGCTATTAACTCAGCCTTCTTCTGTTTTTCTTTTGCCTTTGCTACAGAAAGGGGGCTGGAACTGCACTGTACTGGACACACTATCTTCCGGCTTTATTTGTGAATCAAAAAAGGTTGGATGTCTTGTTTGTAGTTCACTGATCTAGTCTGTCTTTAAAGTGAAGGAATGATTCATTGTTATCTTTGAACTAATCTGTATTATCTGTCTCTTGTTGTGTGATTGGAAGCAGTCTATTGTATGCATAATGTGCCTCACAGGACTGATCATAAATAAACTTCCAGTCTGAGTATCTTTGTATTATAATGTTCAACTCTCTACCATGTCCCACAAGCTCATCAATTTCTTGTGTCTTAGCGTTGAGATGGGTACACACTGCATTACGGTTCTTTTGTTTAATTTCGAGTGTAATTCTAAACCTTTCTTTGTCATTTTTCGACTTTGCATATCAGGGTTTAGATCTGCTTTAGTCTGACTCGTTTCTGTCTTACCAGTTTCAGTATTTTGTACTTTATCTGCCATCTTCTTGTAACCAATATGTACAACCACGTTAATGTAATGTAATGGCTACAGATGAACTTCTAACTTCTGACCTTTATTTGTCCAAAAGTAACTATTTACCCACTCAACTTGAGTCTGTTGCATCAATACATATGGAGAAAATACAAACAATATAGGCATAGTCAAGTAGAGCTATGAAAAGCCCTAACCCTACTTACAGTACATTTACAAAAAATAAAACCCTATATAACTTCTAATAAGCTGACTAAAAGCAACTAAATGAATGGTACAGTACATCGATAAATTACGAAATAAATGTATTGATATACGCGGTAAGATATCAGAAAATCAAAATGCACATGGAGTGCCATACGATGATAACTTGATGCCCGTAACAGGCAGGAATAGTCTGATTTTCAAAAGTATAAAATTCATATAAAAACTATTCTAAGAAAATAGTGTTTAATACTCGTATGTAATGACAATTTTCAGTGTTACTATTGAATAGAATGCAACACACGAGGTCCCAATAAATCGACGTTGTCAGTAACACAAAACGCATGTGTATAATTTCCCGGCGGTCAGTAGATATCATAAAACTAGTAATACGCAAGTAAATAGGTTCCTACCGTGATTTTAGACGACTCAAGCAGACCAGGCGCTATTTATCTACCGCTCTCTACTATTATAGAGTGTGGTAACTAACACAATTACCAAAACAAACACGTATTTGACCTTCGCGTCCCTAAAACTCTGCGGCAGCCGCCATGTTTCGTCTAAAGGCCAAAATTTGTTCATATTTTAATGATTATTGACGCACACCATTACAGATTACCATCAAGTATGATTTAATTGTTGTTGGTCCAACATAATAAATGCCTCATAATAAGTGTTACTTATTTTCACCCATTTACAGTCACTGCAAAACCATGATGTTGACTATATTGTCGCTCCATACAAGGCAGACGCACAAATGGCGTACCTTTGCATGTCTGGGAAGGTGGAAGATGTGATCACGGAATATTTTGATGTACTTGTGTATGGTGCATCAAAGATAAATATTGTTAACTGTTTTAATTCATAATACAATGGCAACCACTTCAGAAACACTTGCTACTTCATTTTTTCAATTTATTGCGGTGTACATTCTACTAGCTAATTGAAAATATTTCTGTTTTTTTCAGGTTTTTACCAAAACTGACATATATAGCAACACTGCATTTTTGATTGAAGCCAGTAAACTTGATCAATGCTTCAATGTAGATAATTTGACATTTCTCAAGTTTACAAACATATGTATATTAGCTGGATGCGATTATTTAAAATCAAGAGTTCTATTGAATTCGTCCAAAGAATAAAAGAGAAGGATATATTCCAGGTATTTTCACTTTATCGAATGAATACAAAACTTCCACCTCTTTAACTTGTAAAATCTGCTTCTCCTATTTTTGGGGACAAGTTCAGAAATGTTCACTTTGTTTTGGAGCTGGATTCATTGAAATGTTGTCATTCTCAGCATAACATTATTATTATTATTCTTCTACAGGCTATTCCACGAATGGGGCTTTATTTGAGCCGCCAAATTTCAATACCAGAGAGATATGAGAGTTATTTCAAAAAGTGATATTTTTAGACACCATTTAGTATTTGATTTGGAACAACAGAAATTGGTTCCCCTGAATCCATATGAAGTCTTTCATCATATGTTGGAGTGAATCCTTTTTATGATCAAACGAGTCTCACCATTTTACAAGAACACAGTACATGCATGTCAGTGTTTCATCAATGTATAAATATTTATCCTTGACACAATCTTGTATAGAATGCTGAATAAAGATCAAGCCCTTGGGAATCTTTCCATTTGTCCATCATCAACAATTTTGACCCGCCAGCCATTTTAATAAGGTATGACAGGTAAATATAGTTTTAACAATGTGGAAATTTTGTCAAGTGATCAAAGCATACCAATGTTGGCCTAGGGAGTAGAATTGTATATTGAAAGTACAAAGTAATGACGGAAAAAATTGTAGTAACACAGTAAACCAGTTTAAAGCACAATGTATTTGAAATGTTGACTGGAGATTCCAATCTCTTAAATCCAGCTGTATTTTGGTGTTACACTGTATGCAGTATATCAAATATTTTTGAAAAGAGGAAATGATAATTTAACAAAAATTTAAAAAATACAACTTTAATTTTAATGTAACCACAACTCAAAGGTGCAGTTCTGGGGATTTATACATACCCATGGCAACTAACATTCCAAACAATTGTACAATTAACGGTTAACAGCTTCCATCTCCACTTTTTCAGTCACTGAATTTGGAAATCACTGTCACAGGATTGGAAGAAGCCTTGGTTTGGACTTTGCCATGCTGTCCTGTTATTAAACTAAGTCTACGTGTTGTGAAGATACTTCACTCCTCAGTCATCCCAATTTGCAGATTTGTCACATGGAGTAGTGAAATTATCGGATGAAAGACTCTGTGTAGTTAACTTACCAGCTTTGATAAGATGTATTAATAGTGATTGCTGTACTGTAACTACAAACAATAGATATATTTTAATGCTGTGGAATTGACAATTTCAAGATGACAGTTCAGTTTCAGATCACGAACTGCCTTTAGATGCTATGTCTGTTTCTAGTTTCACCAGTAATACTTCAAGTAAAGCAGTCAGTAATGACTATGACAATAAGGATGATCCAGCTGACATAGAACACAGCCTGCCATTTAAGGTACTTGGAGTGCGTCACGCGACAAAAGACAGGAAATTCTACAAGCAGCATACATTAGGCTGTATGAACAAAAACTCCCTGTCAAAACAAGTATACGTCAAGATCCTTCAAATATAGTTGACAAAGATGCAATTGCAGTAGATTTAGATGTGGGGAATGGATGGCAGCACAAAGGCTTTTTACCAAGTGAACTTGTAAAGTATGTTCATCCACCACTAAGAGAAGGGAAAATTTCAACAGTTAAAATAGATTACATCAGATTTAGAACCACATGGATGTTGATTGGGTTTTATGCCAAGATAACAATCACAAAACTTCCAAGCCAATGGCTAATAAATACGTTCCGAGTAATTGTTTCTGATTTATTGTTGTTAGTAAGTATATGACCATGCATATAAAAACAAATCATAAATGTGGAGTAACCTTTATTCGATTTGCCCCCCCCCCAAAAATCAACTTCACAAAA